TGTGTGTGTGTGTGTGTGTGTGTGTGTGTGTGTGTGTGTGTGTGTGTTTTGGTAGGGATTGAACCTAAGGCCTTGTGCATACTAGGAAGGCACTCTACCACTATATTCTACAACATTCCTTTTTTATTTTTTATTTATTTATTTTTTTGTTTTGTTTAAGGGAACAGGGTTTCTCCTTAGCTTTGGAGCCTGTCCTGAAGCTAACCAGGCTGGCTTCGAACTCACAGAAAGCCCCCTGCCTCTACCTCCTGAGTGCTGGAATTAAAGGTGTGTGCCACCACCGGGGGCTCATTCCTTTTTTTTTTTTTTTAAAGATTTCTTTATTATGTATACATACACCATAAGAGGACACCAAATCTCATTACAGATGGTTGTGAGCCACCATGTGGATGCTGGGAATTGAACTTAGGACCTCTGGAAGAGAAGCCAGTGCTCAATGCTCTTAACCTCTGAGCCATCTCTCCAGCTCCTCATTCCTTTTTTTTTAAAAGGTTTTATTTTTATTTATGCTTATGTGTATGTGTGTGCTTGTATATACTACTTGCTGTATGTGGGTGCCTGTAGAAGGCTGAAAGAGGGTGTCAGAACCCCTGGTAATGAAGTATAGGAGGTTTGGGCTATTTAATGTGGGTGCTAGGAACTGAAGCCCAGGCCTTATGGAAGATTGTCAAATACTTTTGATCATCTCGCCAGTCTGTATACCTGTTTGTTTTGGTTTTTGACAGGGTTTCATCATGTAACCCAGGCTGTCCTGGAACTCTTTATGTAAACTAAGCTGACTCAAACTCACCATGATCTTCCTGCTCTGCCTCCCAAGTGCTAGGATCGAAGGCAGGTGTACACCAACACACCTGACTTGAGCATCTCTGTTTTGTAATAAGCTGTATCATCTTCCCCATAGCAGTGCAGATAGGTATGGGGGAGTTTCCAGCACTTACTATTGTCTCATTTTGACTATGGCTTGTATCTTGATTATGTGGTGATTTCACCAACCTCTTTTGTTCATTTTCAAGATTATTTTGACTGTTCTAAGATAGCTGTTCTGTGTTAGTTGAAGTTTGTAGTTGAGGTGTGTGTGTGTGTTTCAGACAGAAACTAGGCCTCCTGGAGATCATAAGCAAATGCTTTATCATTCAGCTACACCTCTAGCCCAATTTTCAGACTTTTATTTAAAAACTCAGTTGGCTGGGCAGTGCTGGTGCACGTTTTTAATCCCAGCACTCGGGGAGGCAGAGGCAGGAGGATCTCTGTGAGTTTGAAGCCATTCTGGTCTACAAAGTGAGCTCCAGGATAACCAGAGCTGTTACACGTAGAAACCCTGTCTCAAAACAAAACACACACACACACACACACACACACAACTAAACAAAAACAACAAAAAAAAAAACCCCAAGCAGACAAAAAGCTCAGCTTAAGTTTCACTCGGGAATTTTGCTGAATCTTTTGGGAATATTGCTATCTTGATGTTTTAGATCTACAAACACAGGATATCTTCCCATTTAAACAGCTTTCCATTTTACTTCTTCCCAGTGTTAAGTTTTCAACATCACTTTTGTACCTTTTTCTTCCTTTCACTTAATCCTCGTCGCATGTCTAGGGAGTGGGTATTATTTCTCTTTGCAGGGAAGAAAATGAGTTGAAAGACATGCTGTCTGCAGGGCCACAAAGAAAGGCAGTGAGAGGCAGTTCATCTACTTGTAGCGAACTCTTGCTGGTATTTCGTGTCCCCTTGAAACCCAGGATACAGGACTAGAGGTGGGAGCGAAAGCCAAGATGTCTCTGGTGACATTCAGAAGAGCGTTGGGGACGGACAGCTTGGTTAGACAGTGTTATAATCATCACAACCTTGACTTGGTCCTGAATGGTGGCAGAAAGGAACCAACTCCTGCAAACTACATTAAATCAATACATTAAAATGCAATTACGCTCTATTTGTTAAAGTAGATGTTCAATAGCGATGAGTGGTGAATCCTGTACTGTCAGCCTGGGCTGTCCCATAGGCTTCCGGGGTATTTGGAGACATATAGACTTAACTAGTCAAGGCATAGGTCGTGGGTTAAGCTTGGGGTTTACTACTTTACGTGGTGTCTGACTTAGAAAATTTCATGGATTCTCTAGATTTTATTTTATAAAATAGAGCCGCTGTAAACTCTGCTTACTCCTTAGCACCATGGTTTAAAAGAGCAGATCGGAAAGACTTGGTGATGGACACCTACATCCCTAACCTTTGGGCGGCTGAGACAGGGAGATGGCCAGCTTGAGGCCAGCCTGAACTCTAAAGAGAGCCTGTCTCAGATTAATAATGAGCCAAATACTGGCGACACCCGCACTGGTAAAGCCCTGCTCTGGGCCTGGCATCCAGCAGGCGTTAGTCTTGTTCACAGTTTTATTTTCATTCCTTTCTTGTTCCTCTCATTTCAGTACAAGTTCAGGGATCTGACTGTGGAAGAGCTGAAGAATGTGAACATGTTTTTCCCGCACTTCAGATATTCCATGGACACCTACGGTACGAGTAGCATCCTCTAGTCCTTGCTGCCTTATTTGGATTACCGATTATTTGATCTGAAGAGCTTCCAAATTATGTTTCTTTTCTTTTTTAATCTCAAAACTTGCCGTGTAGCCAGGGATAACCTTGAACTTCTGATCCCCAACCTCCATCTCCTAAGTGTTGGGATTATGGGCAGGCACCTTCACACCATTTTCTTTGGTGATGGAGGTTGAAGCCAGGGCTTCATGAATACTGCCCAAATATTCTACCAACTGAGCTATACACCAGCCCTTTTTTGGTTTTGAAGCAGGATCAGTATGTACCCCTGGCTAAGCTGACTTTGAGCTCATGGCAGTTCCGTCTCTACCTCTCAAGTGCTGGAGTTACAAGTGTAGGGCACCATGCCTGGAAAGGAACATGCCTCTTAAGCGGGGAAGGTGGGCTTGAACTTGGATTTCAGCATCCAAGTTTTATGTTTTTACACCTCTTTCTTACTTCTTTATTTTTGCATAATCTGTATGTGCAGTCACACACATTGATTGCTGTTCTCTCTTCTTCTCACTGACATTTTGGAACTTTTTCTTCTAGTTTTCAAAGACACTTCCCAGAAAGACCTGCTGAACTTCACTGGTACAATTCCTGTGATGTATCAGGGTAAGTCCAGAAGCTGAGAGAATGTGGGACTTCTAAGGTCAATTCCTTAGTGCACACCACTGTTTTTACATACTCCTGAAGTTTGTCTGGACAGGACCTTACCAGATCTGGCGGGATCCTGTATAAGTCAAAGAAGGCCTAAATCAATGCTAATTCTGTTTAACATATACATGTTGAATACTGTCCACTAGGCTGGTGGAGTCTGAAGACAGAAGAGAACATGACAGATGTGACATGCACTGGGAAGAGCATCTGGTCAAAAGTTTAGTTTTCACTTAACATTGGATTTAGCTTTGGTCTTCATGGCAACCAAGACAGGCACTGATTCTTGGAAGGTGTGACCTATGTGGTTAAATCGGAAGAGCATGCAGTCTTGTCTCTCTTCCTCCAAAGTGGTTTGTTTTGTGGTAGAGGGTTAAACGAGCCTCAGATGAGCTGAGGAACTCCCAGAGTTGTGGTTAGAGCACCTGGCTGACAGGAACGTCAGGTAATGAGAAGCCTGCAGGCAGCCAGGAGTGGACTGATAAGATCAGGCCATGAGAACAACATCCACTGGCATTACTTGGCCCGAGACTACAAAGAACAAGTCTACCAATAAAAATGTCTACCCTCAAAGTTCCTTTGTCAAGCCCCTGTGTCTGGGCACAGTCCCTATTCCCACAGAGAAATGGCTGTCCCTCCTTATTGTTCTAGATAAAGGACAATCCCCTCTGTTTAGGTTGGTCTCTTATTTTCATGTGGCCTTGATCAATCCCGATCTACCATAATTGCAGTGCTGGCATTTGAACCCAGGGCCTCACCAGGCAGATGATCTGCAGAGTTAGACCCATTTACTTATCTTTGACCTGTTATCATAAGCCTGTGTCTTTTCCTGAAAAGAATTTGGAGCGCTTCTAAAGAATAGTGTTTGTAAAAGACTCATGTACCATTGGGTGTGGGTGTGGGTGGTGGGGGTGTTGTTCAGAACCCTACCCTGCTCTCACTTTTGGAGTGTAGGTGTATGTTGAGTTGTTGAAAATGCAGAGCGTTTCGGCCCTCCCCTCCCTCACTAAGTTCTGGACTCTGCATGGTTTCAGTTTTGTGCAGCCTTCTGCCATGCACTAAAATTTAGGGTCACTAAGAAAAGGTGACTCAGCTTCTCTAAGTTTGGTGTGTCTAGCTCAGCTTATGGTTCATAGTACCTGTAATTACTGAGCTGCTTGAGGGCAAGTAGCCGAACTACAGTCGGCTCATTTGTTCTTTTCCGTCTGTTTGTTCTTTCTTATTTATATGACAGACTTATTTGGCAGCTAGTATATTAGGCATAGTACCTGATGCTAGGGATGTAGAAACGAATGAGAGAATCCACAGTAGAAAGGCAGGCTGGGTAAGAAAATGATTTCAGGGTAGAACAAATAGGAAAGTAGAGAGGCGACGGTGTCTCTGTGTGGGACGAGCAAAGGAAACTACCCCAGAAAGATTTTGTGCTCCAAGCTTACATACAGCACATCCTGTTAATTGCTTCTGAACTGAAGAGTTGGCCACTGTTGGTTTTTCTCTGTTATGCTGGTGCTGTAGTGAGACCCTCTTCCAAATATAGAGAAAAGGAAAAGCAGGATGATTTACACCCATCCTTCACATACCGTAGGCTTGGCTACTCTTTCTTCCTTTCATCTCTGTACTTGGGACTGAACGCAGGCCCTCATGCACAGTAGGCAAAACTCTACTGGTGAACTCCATATCAGCCCCTTTTTTATTTTGAGGCAGGGTCTTGATGTTGTCTAGACTGAGTTCAAACTCAGTCTTCCTGGAACCTCCACATCCTGTGGAAGAATTATAAGCTCTTACCACTGTGCCTTGCTGCCTGTTTCTAAAATACCATCTAGCAACATTATACATGCATACGTATGTGTCATGATTGTTTATGTGTCTCAAATAGGTAATACGTACAACATACCTATTCGCTTCTGGATTTTGGATTCTCACCCTTTTGCTCCACCCATTTGCTTCTTGAAGCCAACTGCAAACATGGAAATCTCAGTTGGAAAACATGTGGATGCCAAAGGCAGAATATACTTGCCCTATCTCCAAAACTGGAGCCATGTAAGATCAGATTGGATTTTCTTTAAGTTTTATTTTCTGAATGTCTGTCTTTGATCTTGGTAGTATAAGTAAGCACACTGCATCTTCCTTTCTTATTTATTGTTGTTTTGTTTTTGAGTCAGGGTCTACTATGTAAACTGACCTTGAACTCAGAGAGCTGCTGCTTCTGCTTCCCAAATGCTGCGATTAAAGGCAGGCGCTGCCACACCAGGATAATCTTTCAATTACATTCTTCATGTGATCTTTAGAAAGAATTTGAAATTGAGCTCTCTTGAGTCTTTGACGTTACCGAAACACTGATGACATCAGCCCGTATACCTGCCTTCTCCAGGTCAGGGAGCCAGCTGGTGTTGTGCCTTATTTTATTCTCATTTGCCACTTGAGGGGACACAGGAAAAGCTACTAGCAAAATACTGGAACTCTGTTTCCTAGTTTCTGCCTGTTAATAATTCTTATGCTATATAATTCTTATGTAGATATGTGTTATATGTAATTTTACCTGTCTTTTAACTATGTGTAAGTTCATCATACTCTATGTAATCTGTAATGTGCTTTGTTTAACTGATTGTATATGCATGCATGTGTGTGCGTGTGTGTGTGTGTGTGTGTGTGTGTGTGTGTGTGTGTATGGGTGTATGGGTGTATGGAAAAGAGACAGAGGAACCTAGGGCCTGAAGTATGGTAGGCAAAGTGCACGTGTGTGTGTGCGTGTGCATGTGCGTGCGTGCATGTGTGTGTGTGTGTGTGTGTGTGTGTGTGAAAGAGAGAGAGACATAGGAACCTAGGACTTGAAATATGGTAGGCAAGCATTGTGCTGCTGAGTTTTGTCCGTGTTGGCCTTGGCCAGGCCTTGAGCTGTGACCCTTCTGCCCTTCTCTCTGAAACAGCTGTGATTATGGTTCTGTACTCCAGGCCTTACTAAGGTTTTCATTTTGCAGTGCTAAGGATTGAACCTCAGGCCTTACTCATACCAGACAAACACTATACTGCTCAATCACATCCCAGCCTGGCATTCAGTTACTTTTTTAAAAAATTTCAATTTTATATATTTATTGCACGTGTTTGTATATGTCCATATGCACGCACATGTGACATGGCACACGTGTAGAAGTCAGAGGACAACTTGTGGAAGTCAGTTTTTATCATGTGAGCTGCAGAGGTCAAACTCATGCTGTCAAGCTTAGCAGCAGGTACCTTTACCTGCCAAGTCATCTCGCCGACCCTTTTCTGTCCCTTTGTTTGTTTTTGAGACAGGTCTCACACTGAGCCCGGAGTTCTCTGATGGCTCGACAAACCTGCCATCAAGCTCTAGATATTCCCCTGCTCTGGGTTACAGTCACACACTGTCATATTAGCTTTTAAATGTTGCTGAGGATCTGATCAGGTCCCCATTCTTGCACTGCAGGCATTTTACTGACTGAGCCATTTCCTCAGCCCTGTTTCTTTGTTGAATTACCTACATTGCCATTTTTAAAAACTATCATCAAAATATGTATTGATATCTGTGCCCTCTTTAAGATTTGTTTTATGGGGGCTGGAGAAATGACTCAGCGGTTAAGAGTACTGGCTGCCATTCCAAAGGATCCAGGTTCAATTCCCAGCACCCATGTGGCAGCTCACAAGTGCTTATAACTCCAGTTCCACGGGATCTGACACCCTCACACACACAAAAAAAATATATAAGCAAAACACCAGAGCACATGAAAATAAATAAATTTAAAAGAACTATTTTATGTATATGAACGTTTACCTGCACATATGTATGTGAATCACATGCGTGCCTGATGCCCATGGAAGCCAGAACTGGGCATCAGATCCCCTGGAACTAGAGTGATAGGCAGTTGGGCGAACCCCAGTCTCCTGAAAGAGCAACCAATATTCTAACTACATTCTAACTGCTGAGCCATTGCTCCAGCCCTTCCTTCTTTCTTTTGTAAGGAAATACACAAGAAATGCATTAGGAAATAGACATAGGGATAAAGTGCTGTATCCCAACCTGGCTGGCGGATACATACTATGGCAGCTTTTCTGTAAGCTTGAAATGACTTCAAAAGAAAAAGTTTCAACCCTGTGTATTCTGCTACAAAATATGTTTATCCTATTTTCCTACATTTGGAAGATGTTGGCTTAGCATTTTTCTGCTTGTATTGTACAGCTATGTGGAATATTTTCCATGAGATTTCCAGGGAAATTACTTATTGTATGACAGAATTTGTGTGTACTTTTCAGTTAAGAATATTAAAACAAACCAGGCAGTGGTGGTGCATGCCTCTAATCCCAGCACTGGGGAGGCAGAGACAGGCGGATCCTTGTGAGTTTGAGGCCAGCCTAGTCTACAGAGCGAGTTCCAGGACAGCGAAAGCTATGGTGCTATTTACATGTAACCACAGTATGAACAAATATGCAGTAATAAAGCTGCATAAAGTGAGTTATACCATGTAGAGTATTATTATACCATTGAGGCTTCCTTCTGTTTCCATCATGCAAAGTTTCTCATGATTCTCTGATTATTTAAAATTCTGCATAATACTAAAAAATGACATGGGATGGCTGCCATGCATGCAATATAGTAGATGTAGCTTTCAAAGCGTGTACTATTTTTGTTATCGGTGAGGGGTGTAGCCCAGTGTAAAGTACTTGCCTAGCACACACAAGGCTGTGAGTTCAGTTCCCAGCGCTGCTGAAGGAAGAAAGCAGGCAGGAGTTGTAGTGAAGACAAAGAGCAGGCTCTTAGCAGTCTTGGGGAGGCAGTATGTGCAGGTCTCCAGCTGCGCATTGTTCAGGGATCGCCTGGACTGACTGACAATATAAAACTAGTATTCTTTAGAGAAATAATGTTGTGTAACTGTCCCCTTTGCCTGTATTCTTCAGCCTAAATCTGTCATTGTTGGATTAATTAAAGAAATGATCGCCAAGTTTCAGGAGGAACTTCCTCTTTATTCAGTGCCATCATCCAATGAAGCGCAGCAGGTCGACTTGCTAGCCTATATTGCAAGAATCACTGAAGGTTTGTATTGTCAGTCAGATCACCTATGAGTTAAGAAATTAGAATTTCTCACTAATATTCTGTATTCTTTGCTACTTAAATTCAATAAATAAGTATATGAATATGTATATATGTTTAGTAAAAATTCCTCTATATAGTTCCAATTAAAATTTGTTAAAATATAAAAGTGTTACTCGTACATAGACAGATACAATAGTTCCTGCTTTATTCAGAGCCCCTTATAAATTGATTTTCCAGACCTTTATCATTTCATGTTTCTGTAGCTTTGATTTATTAAGTATATGAGTCCAGAGGTATATAAGTCTAAGTTTCTTATTGGTGCTAAAACCAAATATTCATGCCTAGAAATTTTCAGTAGGATTTTTGTGAATACTGAGCTCAAAGATCACTGTTGAATATCTTCCTCAATCTTTTACTGACATATAACAATTATGCATAATAGTTTCAGTGTGACATTTTCATACATGATTACAATGTGTCTCTGGCCTATTCACCCTGTACCCTTCTTTTGTGCTTTCTCACACTTTTTTAATGATTTATTTTTATTTTTTTATATACATTGGTGTTTTGCTTGCATGTCTGTCTATGTGAGGGTGTTGGATTCCCCTGGAACTGGAGTTATAGACAGTTGTGAGCTGCCATGTGGGTGCTAGGAACTGAACTCAGGCCTTCTGGAAAAGCAGCCTGTTCTCTAAACTACTGAACCATCTTTCCAGCCCCAAATAAAAAGTTTTTAAACATTTACTGGGTAGTGGTGGCACACATCTTTAATCCCAGCACTTGGGAGGCAGAGGCAGGTGGATCTCTGTGAGTTTGAGGCTAACTTAGTCTACAGAGCGAATGCCAGGACAAGCTCCAGAACTATACACAGAAACCCTGTCTCAAGAAACAAAACAAAACAAAACAAAAAAAGTTTTAAATGTTTATAATACTGTCTTTAAAAAGAACTTCTCTATGTAAAAGAACATTCAATAGAAGACCACTGTTTTTCTTGGGGCAGGAGTGCAATGTACTCGTTTGAATTACCGGATCTCAAGTAATTCTGACTGGCCTCGAATACTGTGCAGCTCAAGATCACGTTGAACTCCTGACCTTTCTGCCTTCTCTCAACACTGGGATTCCAGGCGTGCGCAGTGCCCAGCCTCCTGCTCCTTAGACTGTGTGTCGCTATGTAGCCCCAGCACTGCCTCGGTCTCCTGGTTGCTGGGATTATAGGGCTGAGCTGCCATGCTTGGTTTCAGTCTCCTGTCCTTGCCTTCATTACTTCAGCAAGTTGGTTGGGTTTTGTTGTTGTTTTATTAATCTGTAGAATCTCTATCAGAGCTTTTTATTTTTTTAAGTTTTATTTTAAAAAAGATGCTAGAAAGGGTTTTTTGGAGGGGAAATAGGGGAACAAGGTCATACTGTGTGATTTAGGCTAGTCTTCAACTTTCCATCTTTCTCCCTCAACTTCCTGAGTGTTGGGATTTTAAATGTATGCTATCTCACCAAGATAGGATAGATATGAAATATTTTCTCTGAATTTGTCAAATGCAAATGGACTAGACATTGTTGATGCATTTATTGCCTGTATATAGTGTATGTAGTCATTGTACTTATTGTATATAGTTTTCTTATATTAGTTATAGCCTTTTTTATTTTAGACAAAAAGGGGAAATGTGGCATTTCAATTGTAGTTTAATAAATAAATACATTTATAAAAATAAAGTTTTTAATATTATTTTTTAATTCTCGGGATAATCTTTTTATTTCATAGGTGTCTCAGACATAAATTCAAGGGGCTGGACAAATCATGAGACTAAAATACCGAATAAAATTACTGTGGTCGGAAGTGGAGATTTGGGTATTGCCTGCACAATGGCAATTTCAGCAAAGGTATGTAAGCCTAGTTGCTGGAAGTATATCTGTACTTTCATTGGACTTTAATTTTCTTTTTCCATTTTTCACTTATATGTGTATTGCACATGTGTGTATACATTTTTTTCTGGCATGTGTGAGAATGTGTGGGTGTGTGGGAACCTGAGGTAATGCTGGGATCGTCCACAATTGGTCTGCCACTTCGTGTATCAGGGCAGGATCTTTCAGTCAGACACAGCTGGACAGTGTGACTAGTCCCACCAGCCAGTTTACTCTGGGAACCCCTGGCTCCGCCTTCTGAGGCTGCAATTGGCGTGTGGGCTGCCATCCCCTTCCCACATTTATTTGCATGGGCTTCTGGGGATCGAAACCTATAGTCTAGGTCATTACCAGGGTTGTGCTGTGCATCCTGTCCTACTCTTAAATAGTCTTCCTTTCTCAGCCTCCTGGGTGCTGAGATTACAAACATCGACAGCTGATATATGATTCCCCTCTGTATGTTATGAATGTTTTATTGCCATTGGTTAATAAAGAAGCTGCTCTCTGCCAGTGACTTTAACAGAGTAAAGCCAGGCAGAAAATCCAAATAGAGATGTCGAGAGAGAGTAGGCGGAGTCAGAGAGATGCTGCTGTGTAGCCTCAAAGGAGAAAGACATGAGCCGCCAGCCAGAACCTTACTGCTGGTAAAATACAAAATAATAGAAATGGGTTAATTTTAATTTAAGATGTAAGATCTAGCCAATAAGAAACTAGAGCTACTAGGCTAAGCAGTGATTTATTTAATATAGTTTCTATGTGATTATTTTGGGTCTGAGCAGCTGGGAAGCGAACAAGCAGTCTCTGCCCACGGACAGCCACACCTGGCTTTCAGAGTGTGGCATCTCCTAAGAATTGGTTAGAAATTCATGGTCTTCTGCTGAATCTCCATTTTACCGCAGCCTGGTGATCAGTGATTCACGGGTGACCGAGTAGTCAGTAGCCTGAGCCCCTTTTCCAAAATCCCGAATTGAAATACTTCATATCTTGTTTGAAGTGAATACTTGGGTTGGTTTTCATCTTGAAGATCTATACATATCATGTCATTTTTCACATGTACTAGTACATTCATAGGATAACGTCTACAAATGAGATTAGCAGATTAATTTATTAATTTTTGAATTTTTAAAATGTTTTAAATTTTTGATAGAAATTGTTAAATTGAGTTGAGCATAAGGGACAGTGCCTTTAATCCCAGCACTCCTTGGGCAGAAAAGTCTGTGAGTTCAAGGCCAGCCTGGTGTACACAGAGAGTTCCAGGACAACTAGGACTACACAGAGAAACCATCTCAATTAAAAGAGAGGAAAAAAGAGTCAAATCGTCCGTATGTCAGTTGTACTAATTATTCTCACACGTTTGGATCTGTGTGTGTACTAAATGAAGATGGAAACATATACTTTCTTTGCATTTTCCTAGTGTGGTTCACAACAATAAGATAATAGCTATGCTTTAGGAAGGACTACTGTGGCTGACCCTGTGCCATATACTTAATCTCACAAACACCTAAAATAAGGCTAAGGCCGGTGCAGTGCGTAGTTAACAGATAATAAGTGGAGTGCTTCTTAGTAGGCCCCTGGGTATCTCGAGACCCAAGGGCTCCAGTTCCCCCAGACTCTTGCCGTTCACTTGCCGTCTCTTCCCGTCCGCTCACCTACTGCCCAGGGAGCCATCCTTGGCCCCGGGGAGTATTTTTCTGCGGCATCTTTGGTGAAAATACTGCATGATAGCAGGGTTTGATTAGTGGTGTGCGCTCCCTTTCTCTCTCATATTTATTTGTCTCTACATAGAAAGTGCTTGTTTATTTATGTTTGTTTTGAAGAACCTGGCATGAGTTTTTACTTTTAAGCAGGGAATGTTGTGCTAGAATAGAACCCCTGCCAATCATTTTAGACTGTTTAAGAATATGTACTAAGCTAGGTGTGGTGGTGCACACCTTTAATCCAGCACCTGGGAGGCAGAAGCAGGAGGATCTCTGTGAGTTCAAGGCCAGCCTGGTCTACAAATTGAGTTCCAGAACTGCCAAGGCTACACAGAGAAACCAAGTCTCAGAAAAACCTAAAAAAGAAAAGAACAATAACAACAAGAGATACTGTGGCGTTAAAAATCAAAACTCAAGAGGAACAGTAGCATGCCTACCATATCCCCTTTGTCATTCATTCGAATAGAAGATACAGTTTGCCTCCTGGGTAAGCCATGTTAGATCCCAGTATTTAGTAGTCAAGCCTGAAGGGTAGTGTCACCTGCACAATGTGCACATCTTCTCTGTTGCTATTTTGTTTCTTTTCTTTCTCAAGTAGTTCAGGAGTCCTCCTTTCTCAGTGAGCTCATATTGAGTAACTGGCTGTATTGGTAGAACATTGTTCTTGTTCTAATTTTTCCATACAGGGCATTACAGACAAGTTGCTTCTTTTAGACCTCTCCGATGGGACTAACCAAGGAACGATGGACCTTGATATCTTCAACCTGCCTAACGTAGAGATCAGCAAAGGTTTGATTATTTATTTAAAGATAGTTATGGGGCTGGTGAGATGGCTCAGAGGTTAAGAGCACTGACTGCTTTTCTAGAGATTCTGAGTTCAATTCCCAACAACCACATGGTGGCTCATAACCATCTATAATGGTATCTGATGCCCTCTTCTGGCATTCAGGTGTACATGCAGACAGAGCACTCACATAAAAATAAATAAATAAAACTTAAAAGAAAAGTAGAAATAAAAGAAAAGAAAATGTCTGGTTAAAAGAAAATATGGTTATATTTCTTTTTCTATTGATTGAGTCTTAGATTAAGTCCTAGGTTGTTTTTTGTTTTTTTTTTTTATTATTATTGTGCTTTTACTTTGGCTGGGAGCTGGGCACACATATCCTGTAGCATTATATACCTTCGAGAGTTTGTTCTCTCCTTGCATTGGGTCCCGGGGATCAAACTCAGGCTATCAAGTATAATGGTAGGAGCCTTGATCCATTGAGAGTCTCTCCAGTCCAGGTCCTAGAGTTTTACGGCTGAAAAGGGCCACGAAGAGGGCCTGTTTCAAATCCCTTGTTTTACTTGTTGAGAAAGGAAGGTTTGGAGCTAAATCAGTGGGGTTATGCAAAGTCTTACACGAATTAAGACTGACTATGTTAGCAGGAGTCAGATGAGGAAATACCATTCAGACTCATTCCAATTGGTCAAAAGAATTTATTCTTTTTCTCTGAGTTTCTGTCTCTAAATAAGCATTGCCATGGTTGTTTTCTTTCTCTGCATATATTGGTTCAGAGAACTGTCTTTAGAGCTAGACAGATGCAATTAGCTCAGCCACGTTATAGTCTGATATTCGCAGGTCACATAATCTCTCATTGAAAGGTTGGTTTTCAGGGCTGGAGAGATGACTCAGAGGTTAAGAGCACTGAGTGCTCTTCCCGAGATCCTGAGTTCAATTCCCAGCACCCACACGGTGGCTCACGACCACTTTTAACAGTGTCTAATGACCCCTTCTGGCCTCCAATACATGTGGACAGAGCACTCGTACATAAGAAAAGTAAATTCAGTTTCTCAGCTGTAACCGGGAATGCACTGTCTGCCGTGGTGCATAGCAGACGTCTAAGCCAAGACTAACAAAAGATGCTCAGTTCACTTTGATTGTGCTCAAACTATTCTTACCATGAGTTCTAATGAGAACAGAAAGGTTGTTGTGCAATAAATCAGATTTGAAAAATGCTATTTTAGGCAGTCGGGGGTATAGAACACTTAACTATCATATATGAGGCCCTGGATTCAATCCCACACCCACAAAAAGAAAAAGAAAAAGGTTTTGCCATCTAACCCTTTTTGTGTGTATGAGCCTCAGTCTTGCTGTTTCCCTGCTGCCCCTCCTGCCTCTCCCATTTAGTGGTAACTATAGGCATCTGCCACCAAGGCTAGGCTTCTGCCTTTTCAAAAACAGCGTCATTTTATAGTGTATGTGACATCATATTAGTACAGATATGCTTATCTAGATAAATACCATATTTAGGGATTGCTGGGTTTAAAATATTTTACTAGGAATGCATAGATTTAAAAAGCTCACCAAGCCTGGGAGCTGACTCAGTGGATAAGAGCACATACTGCTGTTGCAAGGACCCAAGTTTGGTTCCTCGCGTGCAGGTGAGGCAGCTCACAACTGCCTATAACTCTAGTTCTAGGGGTTCCAACAGCCTCCATGAGCACCCACATGCATGGCACCCACACACAGATGCATGACACTAAAAATAAATTTTAAAAATCAAAATATATTAAAAGCAGATCTGTGAATGAATGTGTCCCCTAAAACATGTTTACCAGTTTACAAAGAGGATCATCTTACCCATGCCGCCACAGTGCTGTGGACTCTTTTGTCTTTCCTTAGGTCTCCTCCAACTAAGATGCACTGAGGGTGGTGGTGGGGGGGGGTTGACTTGCCCGTCTGTTCTAAAAATAGTGTGTCACGGTTCAATAGGCCTTCAGTCCCTGGAGGAGACAATTGGCTCCTTTTCCTCCTCTGAGAGAGCACTGTAGTTCTTTTAATGGCCTCGTGAGACTCCTTGGGGAGCTGGATATTCTCTTATTCCAGGCCCTGAGGTTCTTAAGGGACCTTTTAACTCTTCAGATCCTGTAAGAGTACTGGTTAGTCCCCAACCCTAGAGGAAGAGACTGTTTAAGACCTAAGGAAATCCTTCTTTCCTTGCATCTCATTAGCCATTGATAATTGGTGAAATAATTTAAAGAGCAGAATCTTTGAGAGAAATGTACAGTACATGGTACTTGCCACCAAGCAAGGACTCAGAATTACCCATGAGGATGAGAACATTTTTATCATTCAAAGCCAAAGGAGGAAAAGGAGGAAGATTCTGGCAAATTGGGTTGAAGCCAAGGTGTGGTGGTGTAACTTGAACTGGTCACTGGTTTTTGATGCTCTGTATAAGCTTCCTGACCTCTCCCAGTACCATTTTTCCTTGGGGGGGGGCGGTTAGCGTAGAGTCTGAAACCAGTCTGCCTGGGCCTGAATTCCAGCCCCTCTGCTGACTTACCCAAGCCCTTTACTTCTCTGCTCAGTCCTCCCACTCTCCCCGGGCTGTAGCACAGTCACTTGGAAGGAATCCTGAGGCTCCCAGGCTCAGTATAGAAGTCAGTGGCTGCTCATTTTACCTACAGCATACTACTCATTTCCCCTTTAAGAGCTGTGAGTCACATAGAAAACTCAGTCTTTGTGTACTGGTGCTGGCTCTTTCTAACTTCCTGCCTGTCTTGTTACGTATCCCAGGCTGGCCTCCACCTTGAAGCCATTCTGCTTCTATGTCCTGAGTGCTGGATCATAACTGTGTACCCTGGGATCCGTGCTGTTGCTCTTCCGTGTTCTGACTGACAGCTGAAGGGGCGTGTGTGCCTGAAGGCTCTCTGTTCACACACTGGAGAAGCATTTTTATCATGTACTAGCACTAGTGTAGACTATCTTGAACTCAGACTGTTTCTTTTTGTTCATCAGATTTGTCTGCCTCTGCTCATTCCAAGGTGGTGATCTTCACAGCCAACTCTTTGGGTGGTTCTGAATCCTACCTTCATGCCGTGCAAAACAATGTGGACATGTTCAGAGCTCTTGTCCCAGCTCTGGGATATTACAGTCAACATGCTGTCTTGCTTGTTGCATCTCAACCAGGTAAAGGCTTTATTTCAATTCAAATGATGGTCCTGATCATCAGTATAGTTGCCATTGCTGGTTTTAAAAAGCCAAAGCACTGTTATATAAAGGAATCTTTAGTAAGACTGCTCTTACAAGGGATAGTCTGTACAACTATATACTGTTAACAATTACTACTTATAACTGTTATCACCAAGATTACAGATCACAGCTTTTCATGAAATATTGCAAGGAAACCAGCTTTCAGCAGGTCAGAGAAACTGGAGTGGAGGTGTGGCATTGGCAAAGCTGCATACACACATAGGACACTTTTCTGAGGGTCAAAGCTTAATTCTTGATTTTGTTATTTTCTTTCTGTTGCTTGTTCTGTGTAACATGATGGGGCTTGCTTGTGGGGGTATCTATCCTGCCCAGTACCCCACAGCCGGCAAGCCCCAAAGAAAATCACACAGAGCACTCCATAAGAATATAAACTGATTGGCCCATTAGCTCAGGCTACTTATTAGCTCTTATAACTTATGTTAGCCCATTATTTTTATCTGTGTTAGCCATACAGCTCAGTACCTTTCTCAGCGGGGCAGCTTATATCTTGCCTCTCCAGTGATCTGGGCAGAACTGCAGAGGGAGCGTCCTGCTTCCCAGAATACTCCCATTCTCTTTGCTCCACCTCTACTTCCTGTCTGGTTTTCCCGCCTATACTTCCTGCCTGGCCAATCAGCATTTATTTAAAATATGATTGGCAGAATACAGACAATTCTCCCGCACCAGTTCTGTTCTGTATTTTCTCCTTATCCCTTTTATACCAATTAAAACAAAGATTTCTATGCAAGGAAAGATTGCCTCATAACCACAAGTAACATATTTCCCAAAAACAAATTAAAATCTTTACGTAAGAAGGAATCACATTAAGATCACAAATTACATGTTTTTTTTAGAAGCCCACATATAGTTAAACATTTTCTTTGTACTAATTTTCCCATCATAACATCTTCACCCCAAAGCCATGATTAAATTTGCAGCAAGCCAAGTGTGTTTCAGCCAGTTCCTTTTGTCCTGGCAGGTGGCTGTTTGCAGTATCCATGGAGAAAATTCTTTGTTTGTTTTTCTCAGTGTGGTCCTGGCTGTCCTGGAACCAGCTCTTGTACACCAGGCTAGACTCGAACTCACAGAGATCTGCCTGCCTCTGCCTCCCGAGTGCTGGGATTAAAGGCGTGTACCACCACTGACCGCAATTCTTATCCTATAAAAAAATCTTGACTCAAGTGGTCTAGCTAACCATCTATTTTTCTTTGTTTTTTACACACACTTGGGTCATTTAATTTCCTTTCACAATTTTGTTTTTTCCAAGGTGCATACCAAAACCTGTGATTAATTCTGTAAGCTACTTGACCAGGGAACTCAGGCCTAACCTTGGGTGTGGGGACATAATTGCTGTCTTTAGTCATCAGCCTGTTTTCTACAGGCAGAATTCATGGGTCTGTAATGCATGAAACTTCCTTGTTCTTCATTTTCATTTTCTGAAAATCTCACATCTAACCAAGTAAGGTAACTTCTAGCCTGTTTTTGTGTCTTTTATTGGAGCACTTAGGCAGAATAGCCTAAACCATTACCTTAGTTATCTTTACTAACGTTCCCATAAAAGACACTAGCTGTATCTTTTAGGCTAACTCAAAAAGTTTAATTAAATCATAGATTTAGCTAAGCGTCATTGCTCTTATAAAAGTCATCTTCATCATGATCTGTAATTAAATTGCCCAGTGAGGAGTGGGGTTGTCCCATGAAACAATCACAGTGGGATCCTTTTACACAGTAAATCACTGTGCCAAATACAGCAGAAGAGCAACAGCAAGGGGCATTCTAGAGACAGTTCCTCCCCAGGGCTTCAGTGCATTGAACTCTGAACGCTCCATTGTCAGCTCCTCTGACGTGGCCGCTGACAAAATGTGGTATTATTTTCCATTTGTTAGCCATACCTCCTTCAGTGAGAAAATGGTGAAAATCCCCAAGAGAAACATGTAGTGGTGTTTACGTGTAAGAACTTGAGTCTCTGGTGTTGCAAAGATGTTAGGAAGCACACTGCACATCCAAAGAAACTTCTTTCCTTGATTTTCTCTGTGAATGTGTGCACACGCACCCACTGTGAATGTCAGAGAGCAGGTCTGCTTCCACACTTCCTGAGAGCCCTTGAGCTCAGGTTGTCAGGCTAAATGGCAGCCACCTCACCCACCCTCACTTCATCTTCAGTGTTCTATATTTTGTAGATTGTTTAAGGAAATAAATATTTCCAAAGAGTTAGTGGTTTGAGCTCAGCTGGTGAGCTTGTGTTTGAAATGTTCCAGAGTTCTGTGTTTCATTTGTGATTGGTCTCTATATTCTGGGAGACACTTCTGTCATATAAGAAAAAGGGAGTTGTCATGTTTGTTTTTCAAAATGTTGTACTCATAATGATATATGAACTGGTATTTTAATTTAAGCCTAAAACAGAAGAAATTTATGAGTGAAATGAGATTATTGGGCTGGGGATATATCTTGGTGATAGAGTGCTTGCCTCGAGTGCATGAGGCCCTGGGTTCAAAACCCTTCACATATGTTCATGCATGTGCACACGCCTGTGTGTTCTCTCTCTCTCTCTCTCCCTCTCTCTCTCTCATACACTTACACACACACACACACACACACACGCACGCACACACACCAATATTAGTGCTTTATTGAAATGAAATTATGATTTTCCTGCTTTTTTAATATTTATTTATTTATTTATTTATTTATTATGCATACAATATTCTGTGTGTGCCTGAAGGCCAGAAGAGGGCACCAGACCTCATTACAGATGGTTGTGAGCCACCATGTGGTTGCTGGGAATTGAACTCAGGACCTTTGGAAGAGCAGACAATGCTCTTAACCTCTGAGCCATCTCTCCAGCCCCGATTTTCCTGCTTTTATGTCCAGTTTTCACCTTTCTTGCTTAACTGTTCTGGGATCTTGTTTTCTACCCCTAACAACTTTTGTTTCATGAGAAAATTATATAAAAATGCTTCAACTTGGCTAGTGTTTTCAATATACTTTATAAACATACTCCCAGCCATGTTGGTGCACTTCTGAAATCCCAGTGCTCAGGAGTGGAGGGAGGAAGGCCAGCTAGGCTGTGTAACAAGACCTGCCTTGGGGAGTATAACGCTTTAGTGCATTTAAGACTTCCAAAGTCTGTAGAGACTCTGATTCCCTTCTCCAGTGAAACAGGGCTTTCCTTGTGAGCAGGTGAGAAGCATACATTTAAAAAAAAATCTTTAAGTTTTCTTTCTATTGTATTGTTTAGTGGAAATCATGAGCTATGTGACATGGAAACTGAGCACATTTCCTGCAAATAGAGTGATTGGGACTGGATGCAATCTGGATTCACAGAGATTACAATACATTATTATGAATGTTTTGAAGGCACAGACTCCAGGCAAAGAAGTATGGGTTATTGGTGAACAGGGAGAAAACAAAGGTAAGTACAGCATTATTCATTTTTCTGCTGATTCTCTGATGTCATGACATTCGGATCTATTCAGGACCTTGAATTGTGGAGCTTAGTGAGTACCTTCTGTTAATGAGCCTTCATGAGGATTATTTGCCGTGTGTGTGTGTGTGTGTGTGTGTGTGTGTGTGTGTTAATGCATATGTGTGCATATTTGTGTGTGTGTCTGTGTGCTGATGGGAATTGAACATAGGGCCTCAAGTGTGTTAGGCGGGTACACTACCACTGAACTGCAACTTGACCCCTGTTATACTCATATATTTGTTTTCCTTGAGCTTAAGGAAAGAACCCCTTTGTCAAGTTTTATGTTTTTAATTGAATTTTGGAGTCTAGAATTAATTTAAAAGTTTTAATTTTCCATTTAAGCCTTTCAATACCTGAAGCATTTAGAAGTCCCCATTACTCTCTCCACATCCAACTTTTTTACTTTGAAGCTCAGTCTTCATTCCTAAATGCATGCTTCCTGTTTCTCTCTCTCTCTCTTTTCTTTTTCTTTTTTTTTTTGAATGAATTTTCAGCCCCTGGCTTTGTTAATGAGCTGTTCGTTCTCTCCCTATCACAGAAGCATGACTTCAGCTCTCTGTATGGAAACAAAAGCAAAACCCTCTTTTTCTCCCAAAAGAAGGCTTTCTGTATCTGAGATGCCTTCCTTTATGCCTTGTTCCATGCTGGGAAGCCAGGTTGCTCAGGAGACAGCACTGTGGCTGCCCTGACTTCATCTCTTCCACCCGTGTACAAAAGTGTGAGTGTCGACGCTTACTCGCTGCGTCTCTAGCTGCCATGGAAAGGGAGGTGTGGAACACAGTCTATTTTAGAGAGAAGGAAGTACCATACGTCAGCTGACAAGGTACAGGATACTCTTTGTCTAAGCGTTGGTGCCTAGTCACTTACACATGCATTTGACATGCGTTGGGATTATTAGGAAAAGAAGAATACTGTTCCTATAGTACCTCGAATGATGGTAAAGGCAGTTAGGTGTTGAAAGAATGGGTAGGATTTGAATAGTTAGTATAGAGTGGTGAAAACATTCCAGAAATGGGAAGTCAGAACCAGGCAGAGGCACTAGCTAGGAACTGCCTACGGATGGCCTTAAGATATGGATGCTCGTGCATTCTCTTCAAGTATAGAATATATCATATTGTATTCAGCGAGTCCCCCTAAGAAGATGAAGTTTTTCATGTATAATAAATATTGAGTTGAATAAGAACATTTTAAAATATATTGTATTAGGCAGTCAGTACTGTGGTTATGCCTGACCCCATCATAGTCTTTGTAGTATAGTCAATGAGCTATTCCTAACAATGACAGAATACATTCATATGTGTAACAACTTACAGAACTCACAAAGAGAAAGTATATCTTCATCTAGTATGTCTAGGTGAAGAAAGAAAAATAATTTAATGGAATTTGAGTTCTTTAAACAAGAATAACTAAAAATCTCTTTTAAAAGTAGGGTTTTTTAAAAAAATAAATGGTCTTTTATCTCAAATATAGGGATTTATAGCATGCCTCTTTTTAAAATTTATTTTATGGTTTATTTAACTTTATTTTATGTGCATTGGTGTGAAGGTGTCAGATCTACTGCAACTGGATCTTCAGACAGTTGTGAGCTGCCATGTGGGTGATGGGAATTGAACTCAGGTCCTCCGGAAGAACAGTCAGTGCTCTTAACCACTGAGCCATCTCTCCAGTTCCAAATGTAGGGGTTTATTTCAGAAAGTTGTGATATTCACCTGTGTTGCCTAAGATACTATGGTGCTCACTGCTGATCCATCTCCTGGAAGCCCCTACATACCTAATAGAGCAAGCGCTCATGAATGTACCACGGAAGTAACTCATATGCCCCAGGCCATCGTCCTGCTTACTGTCTAGGAAGAATCAGTTGGCTTATTTGTTTTGTCTCTTTTAGTGCTAGGATCCATTCCAGGGATCCTTGTAATTACTTAGACAAACTCTAACCACAGAACTACACCCCTGACTCTCACCTTTGTACAGTCTTCAACTCCTGCTCATAGTGGCATATAAACATGGCTAGCTTTCCTTACATGGCCCTAAAGGCAGAAATGGATCATAGGCGCCCTCTACTGACTGCATGTAAGAAACCAACTGGTAATAATTTTTGCAAAAGTGACAACGGTAATGTAATTAAAATTGATTTTTAATTATTATCATTTTTATGGAGTACTTTTCATAAGGTTTCCTACTTAAATTTTACAAATATCCTGGTAAGGAAGAAGTGGTTTTCTCTTATTTTTATTTTATGTGCATGGTGTTTTGCCTGCATGCATGTCTGTGTGGGGTGTCGGATCCCTTAGAACTAGCGTTATGGACAGTAATGAGCTGTCATGTGGGTGCTGGGAATTAAATCCAATGTTCTTTTTTTCAAGACAGGGCTTCTTTGTCCTGGAACTCATTTTGTAGACCAGGCTGGCCTCGAACTCACAGAGATCCGTCTGTCTCTGCCTCCCAAGTGCTGGGATTCAAGGCGTGCGCCACCACCGCCTGACTGAGCGCCTGTTTTCTAAATGTATAGAAGAGGAAATACACAGCCCAGTAAGGATGAGGGAGCTGCTGAGGGTGATTTATTCAATGAGAGCTGCTCTAAATTGATGCTAAAGATGCTCTTTCTTGCTGTCACTTAATGTCACTTAAATATTTTATGCCATGCCTGACCCAGAGTAAATACTCAATGAATTGTTATTCCAAGATTGCAATGAATAAGAATCAGCAAAAGGAGACGTGAAAGAGCACTTGGAAGTGGAGCAATATTAGGTCTTGGGAACAGTTATAAGAATAGAATTGTCTAAGTAAAATTCTTCTCTTCTAGTTCTTTAGTGATAGCCATAGCCTAGGGAGGAGTCCGAGGGTAAATAAGACCTTTCAGCTCTATTCCCTGCTTCCTTTCTCAGCTTCAGCTGCCCTTCTGCCAGGTGTTTGGTGCTAGCCAGATGGCCACTTACAGTGGTTCACACTGATTGTACCTGCTGCTTCCTTTCCCCGACACCCATTCACTTAGCTAGTTCCTGCTTACCTCCATGACTGCGTAAGTGTCTGTTCCCCAGAGCGAGGTTAGGTGAGTTTGTGCATATATTACAAGCAATAGCATGCTGTGTGCCCCTAATGTCTGTTGTATCATCATCACCATGCTATGATGCATGCTTGTTCTTCATACGATGGCCATCTCCTTCAGCTTGGAATGCTTTCCTACTTTGGATTGAATCAGTCATTTGTTCTGCACCAAGTAGGATGGTTTGCAGAACATTTGCTCAAGAGCTGCTGTCTTTAAACTCTGGTATAGAAATCATATGTAAACGCAGATCACTGCATGGCATTTCAGCAGTTTGAGGGCTGGGCCTCAGAACAGTGTGTCATCTCTTTTGGCACAGGTTTGGTTTTGTGTGTGATAGTAAAGAGCGATCCTATAGTCAGTGTTTTTACTGTCTCGTGTTCCCAGCGGAGCCTTAAGCTTGCTATGTGGCTGAGGATGACCTTTGAACTTCTGACCCTCCTCCCTTTACCTCCTTAATGGCAGGATTGCAGGTGTGTGTCACCGCTCAGTACAGAGGGTCTGACCCAGGCCTTCATACATGTTGAGCAAGCCCGCTGCTGACCAAGCTACAGCCTGTGTCCCCATGGGCATTTTTCATAAAAATTTTTGGAGCCTGTTTTTGAAGATTGGGGACTAGAAGATAAAGATGATTAAATGAATTATTTTAAATAATAATTTAAAATATTTAAATTTTTTTATTTAAAAAAAAATGGATCTACACCAGGATGTAAAGGGTTGGGCAGTAAAACAGAAAATGAAGTAATTAAGTAAATCCTAACTTACTTTATTCTGTGATAAGCAGATTTGAACACTAAACATTTTCTCTCTTAACTATGGGTCAGGGCTTAGAAGAGAGGAAAGGTTAAAAGATGTGAGATGCACAAGGAAAGAGAGCTGGCTCAGTGGTCAAGAGCACTGGTTGCTCTTGCAGAGGGCTTGGGTTTGGCTCTGAGCACCACATGGTACACAACTGCCTGGAGCTCCAGTTTCAGGGGCTCTGATGCCCTCTTCTGGCCTCTTGCAGCACAGCTTCCATGCACACACAGATACAGGCATAAAGTAAGGAAATCATAAAATAAAAAAGGGGCTAGAGAGATGGCTTATGGGGTAAAAGCATTGACTGCTTTTCTAGAGGTCCTGAATCCAATTCCCAGCAACCACATGGTGCCTCACATCCTGGAATAATGGGATCTGATGCCCTGTTCTGTCATGCATGCAAATAGAACACTCACGTACATAAGTAAACAAAATTTTAAAAAATATGAGTACAAGAAAAGGATAGGATATGAGATTCCTATTTTTTCATCTGCCCCATCTTAACTACGCATATTGGCAGCAATACTCATAATTTTCTGATTATTTTGTCTTCTTTATGAATCTTTTCTCATATCTATCTTGCTATTTTTATTCATCCTTTCAAAGTCTATAAAACTGTATTTCAGTTACCAAGTGTTCTCCATACCCCAGTTTTTAAATATTGTTAACATATTAAAACTTAAGTAAATAATTCTTATATAACCCTTTAAAGTAGATCATTTTAAAATTCTTGGGCCCAGCATGGTGGTATACACCTTTAATCTCAGCACTCAGGAAGCAGAGGCAGGAGGATCTCTGGGAGTTGAAGGCCAGTCTGGTCTACAAAAGGAGTTCCAGGCAAGCCAGTGCTATACAGTGAGCCCTTGTCTCAAATAAAAACAAAAGAACAACAAAAACACAGTAAGAATAAATAAAAAGTTTCTTAGCCCCGCATACGTATCTATATTTTCCGTGTCGCAGTTCTTGTGTTTGTGTTCTTTTTTATTTGCAAAACGGGACTTGGGTTTTGCTGTTGTTTTGGAGGTGGAGACAAGAGTGGGTAGAGTACAGTGGTGGAGCGTCTGCCCAGAGCGAGCAAGGACCTAGGTTCAGTCCCAGCAGGGTAAGAACAGCTTGAAGCTTCCCGTGGTTGTTACCTCAACTACTACAAGTCTGTTTTGTTGTTGTCGCTGTTGTTACCAAATATAACGTTGAATGGTGTGTGGGGTTGATTGTCCTCAGCACCATAATAGAAAATATACTGGAGGGGCTGGAAAGATGGCTCAGAGGTTAGGAGCACTGGCTGCTCTTCCAGAGGACCCGGGTTCAATTCCCAGCACCCACATGGGTGGTTCAAAACTGTCCCTTCAGTTCCAGGGGATCTGATGTCTTTACACCAATGCACATAAAAATAAAGCTAAATAAATTATTTTTTTAAAAAAGAAAATATACTGAAGAGGACACAAAAGAGAAGCAAGTGGTCCGTGTGCCAGGGCAGCTTATAATCAGTCAGCTTGAAGAAGGGTGGCGTTCGCATATTGCCAAGTCCCTTGTGGCTGACGCCCTAAATAGTCTGTTTTTGTTGTTGTTTGTTTTTAATGAAGTTTAGAGTATGTGAATCTTAGACATAAGATATTCTCCTATAACCAAATGTATTTTTGCTTGCCTACTCTGAACAGATTTATATTAAAAGGTGTCTTTTTGTAGATGAACACTGGATGGTTCAAATGTTGCAGTTTCAGGCCAGTATTAAAAAGCAGCACAGATAGCCAGTTTGTGGGCATGCATGGCGTATGCAGAGAGAAGGTTTCCAGTCCCATCATGCTCTAAAAGCTGCAGCTTGTTTGTGCTGAGTCAGATTGTTTAATTGCCTTGTGAACACTGCGGTTAGAGGATGCATGTAGCCTGGAAGCCATTGCTTCTCCTACGATTGTAGAAATTCCATCCCAAAAGAGGTCACAACATTTTTCCTCAAATTAGTCATCTTGCTTTCCAGCAGAACAAATGTGAAGTGCTTACAGCATTTGAAAGTCTATTATCTGCAGCCACCCAAGGAAGCAGCTCTTGCTGCCTGAACAGTAGGGTGGCCCCTGTGGATCTTTGCTGCTGAGTGAGGACAGGTAAAGAAGCCACAATGTAGACTTTAGGGATCACATTTTCAGGAGATTTAGGGTCAAAATCGGCACAGAAAATTCAGTGCCGTCAATGGAAAAGTAACTGTTGTTAGGAGGGTGAGCCACTACAAAAAGATGGGTCCTTTAGTTGTCACACCATTTTTGTTTTGTAATCAGTGTTTCACTGTGTGGCCCTGGCTGTCCTGAAGCTTGTGTAGATCAGGCTTTGAACTCAAGGAGATCTGTCCTCCTGCTTCCGCCTCCTGATGGCTGCACTTAAAAGCATAAGCCATCACTCTCGGTCATTTATCTCATATCACTGGCAAAATATAACTAATTCTTTGTTTAATTTTAGTGTGCTCATGGAGTGGCGGAGACGGGGTAATGAGTCATAGCTCTCTGGCACAGCTGTCCGGCAGGTAACGGTGAAAATTTTTGAATATCTAGCTAAGTCACGTGCTTCATAGCTGACATGGCAGCTGTTTACACAGCAGGTTCTTACCAGATTTCTGTACACAAGACTAAGTAACGGGAAGTCTGGAAGTACAGGGACCAGGGCTGTCGTCCTGGACCTCTAGGAGTGCTTTGCAAGCTCGTTTAGACATTTAAAGGAAAGCAATGTCCTTATTTCAAGCAATGGTTTGCCTCCTTTACGTCTAATCCAATACTAAGTTAATGGGAAAGAGGACTCGTCTCTATGAGCACCCAGAAATGGATACAGACTAAATACATATGGATACATTTGGAAATCAGTGTAAGATCAACGTTTCCCAGTCTTGTCAGAGGGGGTGCAGTGCACACACTTTATCTGGAGGCCCCCTGGGGCTTGTCCTGGCCGTTGGGTTTACACACAGATTATTTTCAGACCCCTTGTTATTCCATCATCACAAATAGTACTCCCCTCAGGTCTGGTGTGGTGGTAAAGTGTGGATTTGTAGATCTTCATCTTGTGAGTTTTAGCACATGTAGCAGCTAGAAAGAGTAGTGTGCAGGTAATGCAAGACAACCTGCATTATTGAGTTATAACTTCTTCTGTTTTGTTGCTGTTCGGTTTAGGTTTTTGTTTTGTTTTGGTTTTAGTTTTTTGAGACAGGGTTTCTCTGTAGCTTTGGAGCCTGTCCTGGAACTAGCTCTTGTAGACCAGGCTGGCCTCGAACTCACAGCAATCCGCCTGCCTCTGCCTCCCAAGTGCTGGGATTAAAGGCGTGCGCCACCACTGCCCAGCTTGGTTTAGTTTTAATGGCACCAGAGATTAAATTAGAGCCATGGTTGTGCTAAGCATGTGTTTACCACTGAATTATGCTCCCGATAGTTTTTAAATGAAATAAAATTAAACAGTTTTAATTTATATACTTTTTTTTACAAGAAAGTATGCCTATTATAAACTTCAAAAACCACTGCTGTTTATAGAGAGTAAAAAGCTGAGATAATTCCATCTTTTAGAAACATCCAGTTTAACATCCACATGCTCCAACTTTGTAGTATTTCTGCACATACAGTGTTTATTTTTAGTAGATTATACTATCTCTACCACCTGTCGCTTGATAATTGGAAAATTAAATATCCCTCTGTATTGTACATGTAAGCCTACCTTCTTTTTTAAATTTTTTTGTTTTATATGTATAAAGATTTGCATGTATGTATGTGCATTACATGTATGTCTGACACAGGCAGCAGTAGACAAGGATATCAGATCCCTTGGAACTGGAGTTATAGGCAGTTGTGAGTCACCATTTGGGTCCTGGGCACCATCGCTCCTAGTGGACTCTTGAAGAGTACGTTCTTTATCAGCTTCAGGAGAGGTGACTTTATTTCCGTTCTGATCTTATAAAGCAGCGGGACTGCTGTGTCAGCACCAGCTTTGGAGTGAGACATGGGAGTTTAGTCTTTTAGCACATCCATGGCTCTGAGTTTAATCTCCAGCGCCATCCAAACAGAACAACTCGGAGGAGCCTGTCAGTGCAGGTAATTACCTCGCTCACTGCTCCTCCAAACTGTTACATGTGCTAAAACTCACAGGCTGACAGTTTGAGATCTACCCTTTCCTACCACACCAGACTTGAGAGCATTGTTGCTGACGGTGCAATAACAAATGGTCTGAAAATAGCTGGCTCCTCCCTCCTTTTCTGTGATTTTTGTTCGTGTGTGTGCATGGGTGCTAGAAGAGGGCGTCTGCTTCCCTGGGGCTGCAGCTACTCACAGTTGTGAGCTACTCACCAGAAGGACTGGGTGCTGTCTTCTAGAAAAGCAGCATGTGCTTCCCAACCTCCCCGCCCTCTCCAGTGCCAGCCTTATCTTCCTGTGGTGTGGCAGGCATGTGGTAAGCTTTTCTCAAATACAGCAAGCATGCTCATATGTGTACCTTTGCACACTTGAGCCATAGGACAAAGGGTGAGGAAGGGGCTTCTAGAGCAATGCTGCCGGTTTTCCCTGACATTGCTTTGTGCTCTGAGCAGTGATTGTAGGAATGCTTTTTTCCTACAACCCCCAAAACTAGTTATAGTTCTTTTTATCATTGTCACGTTGAACTGATATTTATATGGCTGTTTGTTCAGTTGTTTTTGTTGTTAGTCCTGGCTAGCCTGGAACTCCTTTGCCTTCCAAGTTCAGGGGTTAAAAGGCATGTGCCACCATACCCAGCTGATACTGTTTAGCTATTGTTTAGTTAAATATTCAAGATGGTAAGCATCTTTTATTTATTTGTTTGTTTATTTGGTTTTTTGAGACATGCTTTCTCTGCCTCTCTAGTGCTGAGATTAAAAGCATGCGCTACCACTGCCCGGCCAGTAAGCATCTTTTTATGCTATGAGAGTATTTGTGTTTTCTCTGTGAACTGTGGCTCTCAAACCTTAGGAAAAGCTTAAGTCACAATTGTATTATTGGCAAGTCTTCTTATATTTTCTGAGATTCTCTCTCTCTCTCTCTCTCCCTTAATCTAGAGCCATGGAACTGTTGAGGGTAAAAGGTCAGAGATCTTGGTCTGTTGGACTGTCTGTGGCTGACCTGGTGGATACTATTGTAAACAATAAAAAGAAAGTGCATTCTGTATCAACCCTAGCAAAGGTAACTTATTTTCACTCACGTGTTTTCGACTTTGGTATCTTTGATATTAATATAAAGTCAGCAGCACTGCTGTGTCAGCGCCGGCAGCTTTGGGGTAAGAACAGAACGTCTTGAGTTGCTTTGCTGTGGGAAGTCTGCAGCTTGTTCTTTCACTCCCATAGAATTTGGGGGATATCGCAAAGGTGTTCATATAACTTATTTTCCTGAGTCAGAGAGTCATTTCTGCTTTTTACCAGAACATAAATTTTACCCCAAACACAGCTAACATGAAGCCTAAATGCTGGGGCAGGTTTTCTTGAACACCAGGAGGGAAATAACAACATGGAAAGAAAACGTAAAATAACTTACTGTATGTGACTAGGTTCAGAGCCCATGATATATTTCCCCAAGGACTGTATGGTCCATCTCTTTATTAGCCCTAGCCTGCTGACTATACTGCAGACAGCTAGTTTACCTCCCTGCAAAGAGGGCATCTTTGACCAGGCTCCTCCTATCAGATATTTTCTGGAGTCATAACTTGAGTTTAGAAAATCAGTAAGCAAATTAAGTTGAGCTTGTATCACTTTGTTTTTTTCTGTTTGTTTGTTTTTGAGTTTTCTTTAAGATTTATTTATTTATTATGTTTATAGTGTTCTGCCTGCATGTATGCCTGCAGGCCAGAAGAGGGCATCAGATCACAACAGATGGTTGTGAGCCACCATGTGGTTGCTGAGAACTGAACTCAGGACCTCTGGAAGAACAGCCAGTGCTCTTAACCTCTGAGCCGTTTTCTCCAACCCCAACACTTTGTACTATAACTAGAAAAGCAAGGGAGAATTCTTTTCATTATCTTTTAAAATTTGTTTTTATTATTTTTAATTATATGGCCAGGGTTGTACATGTAAATGCAGGAGCCCATGAAGGATACGACTCCTGAAGCTGGGGTTCCAGGCAGTTGTGAGCTGCCTGACATGGGTGCTGGGAATGACTCTTATCCTATGGAAGAGTGGCCACACTCCTATCTGCTGAGCCATCTCTACAGCCCCATGATTTTAATATCTTATATAATTCAGCTTTATTATAATCTCAACTTTTTCATTTCAGGGATGTTATGGTTTAGATAATGAAGTGTTCTTAAGTTTGCCGTGCATCCTGGGAACCAGTGGAGTATCTGAAGTCATCAAAAGCACAGCAGGAGAAGACACAATGACTGAGACACTCCAAAACAGTGGTTCTTCAATCCACAGTCTCCAGCAACAGCTGAAACTCTGATGCCCGAGAGCAGTCACCTCAAGGGGGAAGCTTATTTAATTTTGCCAGCACACACAGTTTTGGCAACTTCCACAACTTGGTATTTCACAAACAGCCCTTATAGTAGATGACGTCTTAGCTTTATAATTTGAGAACGGGAGAGGATCTGATTTCCTTGGGAGTTTTGACACACCTGAACTGTTGTTTAGAGCTGCCACTTTAGATCGCACGTCCTAACCAGCACACCTAGCACTTTAGAGATGTTCTGAAATACGTGCACGCCTGAAAGATTCTCACTGGACACTCATTCTGAGCATGGTAAGCTGAAGGTAGGATGGGCACAGAGCCTGTGGCAGGTGTACATTCAGAGACTCCTAGCTTCACGGATGTATTTGCTTCTTCTGCAACATCCCACTGATGGTAATGGCTAAGCGTTTGATTTTCCTTCTTCAAGTTCACTTACATTAGAAAGGATTTTAGTATGCATTTAAATTGGTTAAATGGAATTTTAAATATATGAAAAATAATATATGATTTAATTTCTAATGACACTTCCTTTCTGAAAATTTCTAGAATAACCTCTTCTTGGGCTAAAAGATCTCAACTGTATCTTAAAACTATATTAGTAGAAAAAGAGATATTCGTGTTTCTGTGGCCATAGGTAATGAGTAACAGCTAAGCAGTATATTTCGAAAGCAAATGTGAGGCTTTCATTAAAAAACCATTGTTCTTAAAGGAGAGGGGCCTTGGTTGTCTGCTTCCGAGCGAGCCTTAGTCACCCCAGAAGAAACAGTTGTGCCTGTGCCTTGGTGACTGGTCAGTCAGTGTTAACATGTGGAGCAGCAGCACAGTGGCTGCTGTGACGCACAGGGGACAGCTCCTATATAGTGAGCTCTTTATTTGTAGAGTTCGGACATTGACTAGCCGAGGTTGGGACTGTGTATCTTCATTACAGAGGAGGAAACTGAACTTAGGTGTCTGAGATTGCTGGGTTCTAAGGAGTGTTTCTTACCTGTATAACCTCTACTTTTCTAGGTAGCAACAGAGGCTGTGGGAAGCCTAGAGGCCTAAAAGCCAAGTTGTCACAAGACACTAACTAAAGTTGAGGCTTGGGATACTATGAAAGAATTCTTTTATTGTCATATGGGGGCTTTCTTTTGTTTTTGTTTTTTTAAACAAGGTCTTTATGTAGTCCTAGCTGTCTTGAAGCTTACTACTATAGACCAGGTTGGCCTCCAGCTCACATAGATCTGCCTGCCTCTGCCTCCTGAGTTCATGGATTAAAGGCATGTACCACCGCACCTGGCTATATTTTTTTAAAGTATTTTTTACAAAGATTGATTAGCCTTACCCACAAAGACTAAGCAAATAGCAGAGATGGTATGTGCCAAAGACGGTGTTTGTTTAGTCGTTCAGCTAGTGCTTATTAGGAGCTTCTCACAAAGGAAACACTGTTGGTGAACATGCCCAGATTAGGGACAAGCCCTGGTACTTACGGATTAGCAGGGGAACACAATAGCAAAATAGCACATGAATGCAAGTGTGCTAAGTACAGTGAAATCCAGAGTGTTTGGAATCCAGGCTGCTCAGAGAGAGGAGCTCAGGGGTTTGTGAGGTAGAAAGGAGTCATGACACTGGGTAGTTACACTGACAAGCGAATGCTGAGGAAGTAGAAAAGGAACGTGCTGAGGAAGACTTCCTCCAGACGTAACTGGGTTAAACCTTGGCCATACAGGCTAGGGATGTAGCTCAAGTGCTTGCCTGATATGCATGGGGCCCTGGGTTTGGTCCCAGAACCACAAAGCTTGGGGTTGTTGAGGAGGTGAGCATTAGCTCTTTGTAGATTATTTTGGTGTTGTTTTTACTGACCTTTATATGAGATAGGAAGGTAAAGTTGAAACAATTTCTTATGTGTTTTAGTATTTTCTACTGGGTGATAACTAATTAGGAATTCAGTAATTCCTAAAATAGAATTTCTTTTCTCTTCATTTGTTTTTGGTTTATTTTTGTTGGTTGTTGCAGGAGGGCCACTTGTTGGTTTCCAGCTGCTCAGCCCCAAAATAATCACACAAAAACTATATTATTTGTAATACTGTTTGGCCAATAGCTTAAGCATTTTTCTGGTTAACTCTTATATCCGAGACTAGCCCATCACCATTAAGTGCATCACCACAAGGTCGTGGCCTACCAGCAGTTTCAGCACATCTGTCTCCGGCAGGCTACATGGCTTCTCTCTGCCTCCTTTCTCCCAACATTCAGTTTAGTTTTCCCTGCCTAGCTCTGTTCTACCCTATCAGGCCAAGCCAGTTTCTTTATTGACCAGTGATACTCACAGCATACAGAGGGGAATCCCATATCAGTTGGTTGATTGGTTTTTTGAGACAGGGTTTCTCTGTGTAACTGCTCTGGCTATCTTGGAACTCATTTTGTAGACAAGGTTGGCCTCAAACTCAGAGATCTTTACTATCGCTGCCTCCCGAGTGCTGGGACTGAAGGCTTTTGCTGCCACCACCTGGCTCTCTTCATTTGTTTTTGAGACTAGTCTCTAACTCTCAGCAATCATCCTGCCTGAGCCTCGTGAATGCTGGCTACCATACCCAGCAACAATTTTTGTTTTGTTTTGTTCTGTTTGTGGGGATCTAACCCAGGGTCTGGTGCATTCTAGTCAAGTCTTCCAGGTTCTGATGCATGTTAGACAAGTCTTCTAGGGTCTGATGCATTCTAGGCAAGTTTTCCAGATTCTTATGCATGCTAGACCAGGCCTCCAGGGTCTGAAGCATACTAGGCAAGGTCTCCACCATTGTGCTTCATCTGGAACTTAGTTTCTAAAAGCTAATAACTCTCTTGAACAATAAGCCAACTGCAGGATGTTATAACAGCGAACTGCCAAGAACTGTGTTGATTATAAGGAATGCCAATACAGCAGATATTTATTGAGCACTCACTGTTATTCCAGGTATTTTGTTACAGTTTGATCTCAACCTCAAAAGGCCATAGTACAGAAATCTTTGTCTGTTCGCACATTCCTCCATGTAAGTCAGGTGGCGCCATCACCCCCACCTCATCTTGATTTGGTGGTCAATAATCACAGTGTGTCTGTCTGGTAACTTTCATTTTCTCCACATGTTTTAATGGTTTAGATGATGTTGACTTGATTAACCTATAAATTCTGTCAGTCTGAAAACCGGGGGCAGTGTACAGTGGTTGCGTATTTCTCACCTGAGGCACAAGCACAGGCCGTGCAGTGGTGCTCACTTCCCAGGTACCACCTACCATCCCATAAGTTTCAGTCCTGCATCGTTAGAAAGCCTCATTTTTTTAACCTTATTATTGCGGGGGGCATCCTGACCAGCAGGAATGAACGCCACCAAAAACGAGAATTCCTTCTCTGGTCACATCTTTATTTGGAGCATTCCCTTGAGGAAAATTGGGGGAAGGGAAGATAGAGCAGGGAAGAGAGAAAGCTTAGAGAGAGCGGGTTGGGCCCAGAGGCAGCTGCTTTTAAGCGGTGAAGAGGCTTGAACGCTGTCCTGATTGGTTAATGCCATTCTGCTGGTCTGAGCATGTGCAGGCAAGGGTGCAGGCAAGGGTGCTCAGCCCCACGTGGCTACCTCCAAACTGCAGGACCACCTGTGCCTCCAGGTGGCTCCCTACATATTATGTTCTGAAATTCAAGCTTTCTTGAAAAACTAGTGAAAGATGTATTTCCTCATTTAAAAAATACTGTGTTAAGTAAAATTTTTTTCTTGCCATCTGACAAGGAGGGGGCAACTTTCATTTTTCCAAAATCATGCAGTACCTCATGATTTTTATTGGGGCTTGGGTTAAAATGCTTTTTGATACTGTTTGGTATATTTTTCACTTTCAGATACATTGTGTTCCTTAAATATAAAAGACAATGAACAAAATAAATTTTGACTTTAAAAGGACTGTGTGATGTCTGATTAAGTGAAAGAAAATACATTCAGATTAAAGGTTTTTTTTTTAATGTCATTCCCAGAACACTCACATCCATTATTCATTTAAGTGCAAAATGAAAAAAAATGACCTTTATCAGTTGTTTCTAAATTATATATATATAAGAATATATTCTAATGTATATTAGATTATATATTAGCTATATATAATATCTATTTTATATATATATAAAATTTTAAACTTATTTAAAGTTGCAGCTTACTTAGAAGTGCCTTTAACTGGAGTGGCTGTTTCTATGACCTGGAGGAGTGCTAAACAATACACAGCTTTAGAAGTTTTCTGAACTAGGTGTGTATATATATATATATACATACATACATATATATATATACATATATATAATTAGATAGAGAACTTTCAAAAAGAACTGGAGAGATGGCTCAGAGGTTAAGAACACTGACTACGGGCTGGAGAGATGGCTCAGCGGTTAAGAGCACTGGCTGTTCTTCCAGAGGACCTGAGTTCAATTCCCAGCATCCACATGGTGGCTCACAACCATCCATAATGAGATCTGGTGCCCTCTTCTGGCCTACAGGCATACATGTGCAGACAGAATACTGTATACATAATTTTTTTAAAAAATCCAAAAAAGAAAACGTTTTTGAAACAGGGTAATGTGTTAAAGCTTATGCAGGACTTGATCTTTTAATTGTCTTGCCTAGGGCTCCCAAGGACTTCAATTATAGACTATAGATCACTACACCTAGTGATAGCAACCAGGCAAGGGGGAAGGGATGGGGTGTCAGGTCTACTGAAAATCAGGTCCGGAGACATCCCTAACTGATAAGTAAATACTGAGGGTCTGTGATTGTTGACTAACAAAGGAAATGCTAATTGTTTCTAAAAGCCTGGTGCCTGCAGGTCTCACTAGGCTAATGTCCTAGGTCTAGAACTTGTCCTGCAAAGGTGAATATCTTACTTGTGAATTTAAGATGGTAAACAAAATACAGATCTCAAAATACAGGTCTTTGCTTCCAGCAAATGATGATGGGTATGAGCGCTTTGCCTACATTGTGTGTATGTGCACCACCTGCATGTCTGATGCCCACTGAGGCCACTGGGATCCCCTGTAACTGGGAACCTAAACCTAACCCACTGCCAGATCTTCAAGTGTTCTTAACTACTGAGCCATCTCTTCAGTCACTATAACAAGCTTTTATTGGAAATAGAAATTTAGCTTATCTTGAATATCACCTCTTATATTCTACAAAGTAATTAAGATCTGAAAATTGGGCTTGTGATGAATCAGCCTACCTCCGTCTTAGGCGTGAAAGCCATCTTTTTGTTGTTGGTTTTCAAGACAGCGTTTCTCTGTGTAGCTTTGTAGCCTGTCCTGGAATTCACTGTAGGCCAGGTTGGCCTTGAACTCACAGAGTTCGCCCTGCCTCTGCCTCCAGAGTGCTGGGATTAAAGGCACGCACAACCACCGTCTGGCTTGAAAGTCATTTTATAGTAAAGACAAACTAGGGTCATTCCTAGTTATAATTAAATCTCTCTTTATCAAGGATTGAGCAATAACTCACCTGTAACCTTAACTACAAATGGCTCTGTACTGTCTGGTCCAAGTTGACCACCTGTTGTGACTACCTAGTTGTGACTACCTTGTTATGACCACCTTGCAATCCCGTCTTTGTTTCACAAGAGATTGTTATGACCACTTTGTTATGCACGCTTCTATAACCCTGCCTATTTAGCCGCCAAATTTCCCATCACCCCTGAGCTATTCAAACCCTTATTTTTCATGTGTCCAAGGTTGAACTCTTGAACTCCGCTTTAGGGTGAGGTAGCCAGTATACACAAATGAAAAACATTGCTTTAATTGCTTGCTTCAACTAATCTGGCCATGATGATTAGGGTCTGTGGTCCTTACATCTTTGGTATTAACTCTGGAGAGATAGCTCAGAGTTCGAAGGGGAAAATTCTTTTTAATTTGAAAATAAGCCTGCTGTCAAAGACCTGTGAGGTCGACTGCACCCTGTGTTATCTTTATGGTGGGTTCACAGGAATTATTAAGGAAATAATAATTAAATTACTGTCTGTCTTCCTGAGAAAAAGAGCTCCTTATTGCCCTGGCGAACACAGCATAAAGGCTTTTTCGAACGCATGTGATACACCAAGAGGGACGTCGGGCATCGTCGCCTAAATCAATGCCCACAAGCTAGTCAAGCGGGTGGCGCAGGACCAGGGCCTT